ATAATGGCACTGATTGCCACATCAGAAAAAAAAAATTCGCGTCTTTTAGCCAAGGTAGATGGAATTATTTTTTTTTAAGTGTGGGTGTTACTTGACTTTTTTCTTTTTTTAACAATTTCTTGCCTTTTCTTTTTTTAAGTATGGCGTTGACGGCCAGATCTTGGGTTTATATCTCATCCCAACTGTTTTCCTGTGAACTCCTGTTACTCAGCAGGGCCCTTCAGTGTGGGGATTTTCAGTACAAAGCAAGTGCTGTTCACAGCTCTCGAGTGCAGAGATTCTGCTCACACCCTGGGGTTCAGGTGGCCCAAAGTTCATTGTGGCACTTGAGACACCTGCCCAAGCACAGGCTGCATTTGTCTTCCTCCTCTAAAGCCCTTGGACAGCCGTGCTTCAGGCAGCTGCTGTAGAAAGAGAGGAGGAAACAGGAAATTGCCAATCAGGCGGTTGGGTTAGATGATCGTTGTGGGTCCCTTCCAAAGGAAATGAACTATTTGTTCTGTTCTATGGAATCATGAGTCTGATGGTACTAATGACATTAATGGCAATTTATATTACTTCTGTTCAGGGGAGGACAGGACAGAACAAATGGCAGTTCTTCAGAACTTTTACTACTCCTTTCAAAATGTTCTTCTTTTCTCAAAGAAGCAACATGAATCCTTAGGTATGGACTACTCTTTACTGGAGGATGTTCTGAGATAACCATGTTTCTGCTCAACTTTGTCGTGTACTGTATTGAAATATGTCTTTGCATCGTGAATAGTTAAATGATGCGCTTTGTTTTGAGGAGAGAGGCGTTTCAGATATAACATAGACATTATCAAACTAACAGATCGATGTGCTTTGTAGAACAAGGTTTAGTGGCTGGTGTGTGAAACAGGCATAGAAGCAATTGCAAAACAGTTTCTGCCTGAAAATGTGTATCAACATGAGATAGTCGGAGAGAAGCAGGCTCACTGGAATTCTTAATGTGCAGTAAGTCTGTGTTCCTGTTCCTACCGTAAAGCTTCCTGGTCCTTTCAGTACTAAAACTGTACAAGTGGGTTGGGGTGTGTGTTTTTTTTCATGTGTGTTGTGGTTTTTTTGGTTTTTTAAAGGTAGATACTTGATGCAAATTTGCTTTAATTTCAGAGTGTGTCCACTTGCCTAACAGTGTTTATAAATACTAATTTCTCCATGACTCGGTGGAAGGGAGGAAGCATGTTTTACAGAGTTGAGACGAGTATTTACTGGGAAAAGTCATTGCACAAATCCTGGCATCTCTCACCCAAAGTTGGGTAAAAAAAGAGGGTGACAATGAGAAGTAACAAAGATGCTCAGTTATCAATCTGCTTGGAAAGATCTTGAAGCAGGTGCAAGCACAGCACAACAATTTCTGACCGGTTTTGTTCAGGTTATGATGAAACTGATTATCTTAATCTCATATTCCCACTTCTTAGTTTCTCTGGTCGCGTGTGCTCTGCTTTCACCCTTTGAAAGGAGACTAGGCCCAGCAAAAGGCCCATCAGCTTTCCTGGTCCCATGGCTTATGGCTGAGAACCAGAAGACACATACTTTGAGTTGGCTTTGGAAAGCCACGGGCAGGAGCATCCTGGGGTTGATGGCCAGGGAGGAGCAGGATGGCAGTAGCCTGCCTGTGCTTCTGCATGGCCTTGTGCTTGGTTTGGCCCACAGCTGGATCCCAGAGTGAGATGGTGATTGAGACTGGCTTGGTTTGCCAAGGTAGTTTCTGTCTCAGTGCGGGTCTGTTACTGCTCTCATGACATTGCCCCAAAAAAGTGGAGGTTGAACTACCTGAAGGCTGCATGTGTGACTTGACCTAGACACTGGCTGTGCCTGGCTGGCCTGCCTCTTCCTCAGCTGGGATGTGTGTGCACTGGCAGCTCCCTGCCCCACCTTTCCTTTTTCCCCTGTGTCCTTGTATCCTGGTATCTGCCCAGCTGAGTGTTCCAGATCCCTGGTCTGCTTTTTCTGTGGTGCTTTGACGGACTATGTTCTTGCAGACTTTGAAATGCTGTTGGAATAGAAAAGTGGGAAGGATTTCGCTTTCTGTTTTGCGTTTTTTTGAAAGACAGCCCACACAGGAAGAGACAAAGTTTTGGTTTTCAGTTTCAAAAAGTTATTCCCCCAGCAGTACAGAACTTGGCTGGTGTGATTTGTATTGCAGGATAGCTCAATCTTCTGAGTATTTTGGATAAAATTAAATTTTCTATGTGTTCCCTTGAAACTTTTGTGACTTTCTTAGTGAACTCTTTCTAGAAGCTTTAATTGGAAAAAGGTTCTCATGGAATGATGTAGCGAATTGTACATCAAACTGCTGCAGTTTTATAAGAAACTTAACTTGAAACTGACCTTGTGTTACCTTTGACCGCTGGGTTGCATACAGTGGTCAGATAGACCCTGTCTGAATTTCTCGGCAGAGCAAATAGCTGTGTATTTGCTTTACAGAATGATTACTACAGTATTTGGGATTTTTAATAGACTGAATCTTTTGTTTGTGTCAGCTCTGGATGTGCTGGTAGCTAACACTGCCATTTATCAGGAAATATATGTGGAACTTCTTTTAAGTTGGCTTTTCCATTGGTAGTGTTTAAATCAGAATCAAAACCTTAAAGATGCACAGCATTATGCTTTATTTCGTTCCCATTTAATGATCTCACTCTAACAACGTGGAGAATGGAGCTTTCTAAATTTAGACAGTGCTCCCTTGTTCCCACCATTCTAATTGAACATTAATAGTCTTGTTTCATAAATCCTCTGAGAGATGAAGAAAGCCTAGATATATCATATTTTAGAAACAATTTTTAGAGCCTATTTGCCAAATTCTCTTAGTTGTCCATTCAGCAAAGAGAGAACTGACATGGTAAGGTGAAACTGCCTGCTGGAATTCTGGGATTTTGGTGACTAATGTCTGTTGGTTTTGTTTGTTTGTTTAGAAATTCTTCCTATATGGATCAATCTTCTAGTGATGGTGAAACTGGAAGAAGACCACTGTAAGCAAACCCAGGATGAACCGGGTGCCAGGTGCTGCAGAGAATGCCCACAGTAGCAGCGTGGAATCTTGTCCGTCCTTGCGGGATGTCCACTCCATCAACCCAGCGCAGCTGATGGCAAGGATTGAGTCGTATGAAGGCAGAGAGAAGAAAGGCATATCAGATGTCAGAAGGACTTTCTGTTTGTTTGTTACTTTTGATCTCTTATTCATAACCTTGCTGTGGATAATAGAATTAAATGTGAGTTGTCTTTTCAGTACCCTTAGGCTTTATTAATTTATTTATTCACTTTAGGTGTGGTTAATAAGTTGCTCTTTTCTATCCTGAATTATATACTATTTTTATCTGTTTACATTAAAGCTGCTTCTTATTTCTAAGCTTTTTTGAACAGAGTTTCTACTCAACTGCATCTACTTTTGATCACTAGGATACATGGTTTATTATCTTCTTATCATTAAACCTTTTGATGTCGCTGTAGTCTCTGGACCGTGCTGAAGAAACCATTGGAAATCCAGTGAACTTTTCAGGCAGCAAGTAAACAAAAGTGTTACTTTATGTCTTTGAATTTGGCAAGAAGCGTGAATTTTAACAGGATTCAAGAGTTTGCCTTCTGAATAACTCAGTCAGTGATATGTCACTGAGGTGTTAATCCCTGGAAAGACTTCCAATGGCCAAAAGCTTTCTTTTGCTGTGTTGCATTTTCTTTTAGACAAATTTTAGTAAGCTATACATTGTGTATGGCAGGGGGCATTTAAACGACATAAACTCCCACAGTTGCCGCCTTTTAACTCCAGCATTTGTAATTTGGAAAATGAAGCAGTTCTCCTGAAATTTCCAGAAAGCAATAGGATAACTGATTTGTTATTCTTTCATAAGTAGCATTGTAGTTCTTGATCTGGGTTTTAAGCTATAACCTAAAGTGTGCAATTAAGAAAGGACACACACAAAAAATGGGAGGGAATCCCTTTTCTAGACAAGAAAGATCTTGAGTAAACATTTTTTGTCAGCATTCCTTGACAAGATAAATACCTTGGTTATTGATCTGACATTATGAAGTGTCAGGAGCTGACCGTTCAAGTAGTTCTTTGATATAGTGAAAAAGTGTACTTTCTGATTTAATTTGAGAAAGCAGACTTGGTTTGCCTGAATGCTGTAATTTTGGGGCTAGACCTCTGTTGTCTCTCTAGTTGGGAAGACTTCTGTATCTGGTGCATAAAGTTAGCTTCCCTCAGAAAAGCAGCATAGTGTTCTGATGCATTTTTTTTGGCCAGTTTCTCAATGGCTTGTTCGACTGAGAGGAGCAGAGTCTGGGTTTGTCTTGTCAGGGATTCAGAGCACAAATTTCATATTAGCACTCTCAGAATATTTAAGACTCTCTATGGAAAATGCTGCCAACTCATGGTCTTTCATGTTGAAAGCTGCAGCATTCAGGGACCTCAAGATCCTAACAGTTTTCTTTGTGAAAATTTTGTTTTATGGAGAACATGTAATCAGAGTCCTATACTGCCAAATGTCAGCAAGAATGAAAAAACATGTTTTGTCTTCAGAAGTCATAATATTAGAAGCCATCATTCAATATCTGGGATCTGACTTGTGGTTAGGTTGTTTGTTCTGTTTTCTAAATGAAGTTTTGTTCATTGGGGAGTCAGATAACGCTGTGTTAGGGCTGTCTGTCACTGATATATAAGTAATGGGACTTCGGAATCACTGTCAGAGTTCCTGTAACTATTATTTTCCCTTTTTTGCCTTTATCCAGTGTGCTGAGGTGTGATTTATTTTTAAAGACTTCAGGGATTAGCTCCATGGCAATTTGAGCAAATCCTAAATCAAGGGTGTCGTGGTTCTCTGTTCATCCTTATGTTAACACGACGCTTATGCAGTCACACAGTGAAGAGCTTGGTGAGGGGGGAAGCTGGTCTTCCTTATTTATGCTGGAAACAGTTAATCACACCTGATTCAGGAGAGCAACCAAGGAAAAGCTGTATTTAGAGAGTTATTTGTCAGGTAGCCATAGAAGGGAGGGAGAGAAGAAATAAAAGAAATTTGGGGTTGGAGTGAGTAGTCTCAGGAAAACACTGTCCAGGAGCGTAGTTGGGAAATGTTTGGACATGTCCAGACTGCATTTCTTTGAGATGGTGAGCATATGTTTTCAGCATGCTTTGGTACCTCCTTTCTTTAAAAGGATGACAGTAGTCAAACTCAATATTAACAGCTTCTGTTGACATTGTTTTCCAGTCCTTGACATAACTAATTCATGCAGTGCTTAATTATTGAATTTAATATTAAAAACCGTAGGATATGGACACTCAGGTTTTTCACTCCCAACTAAGATACATACTCCTGTCACTCTCTGACCCAATATGTTTTGGGTCAGATGAGTTTCTTACTAACCCAGTTTGAACAGGAAAGTGACAAATCCTCCCACTGGAAAGGAACACAGTGGCTACTGAAGATGTGATTTTGAATCCCCCCCAAGCAAATGAAAGAATTAAACTTGTGGATTAGTTATTTGTGGCAGAATGGTCTAATAGAGGCAGCTTCCGTGGTTTTTACAGTATTTTGGGGTTTTGTTTTGTTTTGTTTTTTTCTTAAAACAATTAGTACATGTGCTGATAAGGAAAAGATCTGGAGCATGAATTCAGTTACTGTTTCATTTCCTATTTGCTAACATGTGACTAACTGGAGCCAGTTTCTGGGTGGCTTTTTCATCAGCTGTTTTGAGACATAAAATGCTCTGAGAATTTGTGTTGACAGATCTTGCATTTAATAATTTCATCTTCTCTCAACCAGATTTTTGCTTTTATTGTGGGGCAGTCTGAAATGTAGCTTGCAGAGGCCAGGTGATAATCCTAAATGTTTTCACTTTGAAAATTGTATATAATAAAAATCAAATAAGGACACTGATCTCAAAATTGACATTCTTAGCATGTATGTCCTCTGTACTTACTTTAATGATCTTTTTGTGCACCAGTGGGGAACAGTGAATTTCACTCTTCAGATTAGTGTGTATTTTAGCTTCAGTAACTTCTGTTCTAAAGCTGTGTGTGTTCTTGTTTCTTTGTAGGTTAAAGGAGGCATTGAGACTACCTTAGAGAAAGAAGTGCTACACTATGACTACTCTTCTTCGTATTTTGATATATTTGTAAGTGTTCTTTAATTAAAAAAAGCAAGAAATAAAAAAATGCAGCAAAAGTATGATTTTCCCGTGTTCCTCCTTCCACAGATGTTCCCTAGTTTGAGTCATGTGAAAGAGTTGATCTTTTCTTGATAATTTAAATTGGTAGGACTTGTGCCAAATTTCACTCATCTAAGGGTTTCCCAGTCCTGCTTTGGCAGTCAGCTTGTGGAACCTGTGGATAGAGATACTTATGCACACTTAAATTGCATCTTCTGCTTTGGAGGGAGTGGAAAAGCAGATGAAAAACTCAGTGAAGAATGTGAGACTGATGTAACATAAAAATAGTTCATTAGGAGGTCAAGACCAATAGTTCTCCACCTGTAAAATAATTTTGTTTAAACTGATGTTTTTGTCCTCCCACAGAAATAAGTCAGTTGCAGTGAGAAAAGACTTGTTCCCAGGTTGGCCTGCATAGGGCAGGGTTTTTTTTAGATTTCTGTGTTTTAACAAACAGGTTTTTTTTTTAATATTGTACTGAAAACAGATGACATGAAGTATGATTCTCCTTAGGCACGTGGGAGAAGCTCTACTGCATTAGGAAATTTGTCTTTCAGCAAGGCTGTAGCTCTGCAGTTGCAATGCATTTGGCACTGCAGGAACCAAGTTACTGATGTCTATAAGTGAAAACTGTTTCTTTACAGTTCTTCCAAAGGGCCCAATATTTTTGCAAGATCATTAATTCTCCCAGATCTTGTTTGCCTGGCAGAGGTGAATTGGTTTGGTATCAGTTATTTTATATTGATGACTATATCCAGAATCTGTTTTTGAAACAGGTATAAAAAACTTGTCCTTGCTTCTGCATTGAATCTTTTGTTGTGTCAAAAGGAATGAGGTACCAGATATAAAAATTTCAGAAGCTAGCAAACTTCTAGGAACTAGAAAGAGAAACTTCTCTCTTTCTCTCTCATCATGATTTTGTTGCCAGGTTCTCATTACTGCAGAAAGCAAAAATTGTTACCTGTAAATGTTGATGCTCTGGAAATTATTTTGCCCTGTTGTTGAACCAAGGGTTAAAAACCTGTGATGCAAAATAGTAAGACTTTTATTCACTGGGAAGGGACTAGGTCATTGAATTCTGCAAAATTATTTGTGGACTTATACAGGATTTCTTCTGTTTCTACTACACATCACTGGAACATACATATTTACATAAGATTAAGTGGATTAATTGTACTTCCGGCCATGTCTGTCCTTGATTTCTCTTAATTTTTAAGTGTTTGTGTCACATTTTTTGTATTCTGAACACATCTTTTAAAACAAGTTGGAGGCAATCTAATATCAAAGAATAAACAGGGAAATTGAGGGTTAGAGTCCCTGATTCAGAAATCTCGTCTATCTGCTATTTATTTCATTTCTGACCTAGAAATACCATAACTTACCTTTCTTTACTGCAGAATATTTGGAACAATTTGCTTCTACAGCCATCTCCATAAAGAATAATTGATTGTTGCAACGCTGATATTTCAATAATTACTAAAAATTTAGTAGATAGAAAATTCTTTTAAAAACTTGTTCCCATTTTCCAGTTGCATTTATGAAGTCTTTACATTTTTTTAATTACATTCTTGTGCAGGAGCACACCTCTAAGGTATTCACTGGATTAACTACATCTAGATTTAACTGCTTAGATTCCAGTCTGGTAATATGATCATGAATATACTTTGTGTAGCTTTCTTATGTTTCTAACTTATTTGTGGAACTGCACATGCTTGCATATTTGAGCCTATGTAGGCATGTGAGTGGTGCCATTTGCTTTACAAATGGCAAATTGTGTTCTGTTTCTGTTTTATAAGCACACATTCCAATTTGTTTCTGAAGAACAGAACTTGAGATTGCCCTGTTTTAAGTTGTTTTGTAAGCAGTTAGTATTTTCAGTGAGCTGAGAATCTTGTGGTTCTTCTGTGTTCTGAATTAACCAACAAATATTTTTTTCCTTTCTCTATAGCTACTGGCAGTCTTTCGATTTAAGGTGTTAATACTTGCATATGCAATGTGCAGACTGCGCCATTGGTGGGCAATAGCTGTGAGTAGTAGCCAAGCATAATGGAGTTTTAACTAGAATGGATCAAACAGACAAAATTTTAGATGCCTCTTAACGCTTCTATGTTAAGAATCATCTCGATGCTATATATAAAAATTCGCTGTACAGTAACAGATTAAAAACTTCTGTTCTGGAAGATTTTCAGCCTAAAGACAAGAATTTATTAGCACAGTGGATGTGGTCCTTGTTACGTATCATGTTAATACAAATTGAAGATTTCTTTTAAATCTACTGTGGATGGCTAGTTGTAACTGCTTGTTACCTCTGACTTGCTAATTAGTGTTTGAAATATATTTGCATTTGAAATAGTGAACTGTATTCAAAAAGAAGAATTGTTATTAATGTCCCAGAGATCCAGCTGTCCATTAACTCCCACATTTTTAGCTTTTTAAGAGTTTTAGGTGCCACCTACTTGTATTGCTTCATGCTCCAATACAAAATGTTGAATATGCATCCGTCCCTTCTTAGAAAGGATGGATGTTCTTGAGGACTGTAGGCAATCACAGTGGATTGGAGCAAATATCTTTAACACAGTGTGGATGAGAAAGTATCAAAACTTGATGACCAGTCAATACTGTAGATTGTAAAACAGTAGGCATATCGATGGCTTAGTGCATTGTAACTCTTAGACTTTTTTTCCCTTACACTGTGGTAGGTGCATGTAGAATGTGTTCATGTATAACTTTCTCCAAGTGAGAGGCATGCAGTTTGTTTAATAGCCTGAGATTACATGCCATGATTTTTTTGGTTTTAAATTGAGTTATTAGCATGGCACACATACATAATAGTAACTGCTGCTCTGATTGTGTTTATTTTTAAGTGCATGCCTCTCAAAATCCCTTACTCTTAGTTGTGTAGCTTTTGCCTATTTCTTCCAATGACACCCTCCAACTTGATGCAGTTGTTTGTGAGGTGGTGACAGTGAATCCATCATGGTAGCAAGCAATTAGATATATAAAGCTTCACTCAAGGCTTTGCAGAAGCCATCAGTCTTAAAATCCTACCTGTGCTTACCAAAACCTAGTTAGGTTCTGCTATTATTTAAAGAATTGCTGGACCCAAATGCACTAGTAGAGTTAGAAGCCTTGCTTAAGTGAACAGTACTTGTCCACTGCTTTTTGGGGGGGGGGGTTTATAGACTTCTATACAGCCTGCCATTTTTTAAATATGTCAGGGAGTATCAGGTCTTCCAAGTGGTTCATTTTTCACAATATCAGTACATGAATGAAAATATTAATTCAAATTTACACCTGCAAAGATACTTTGATATTTGAAAGGCATCTTTTGACTTGGATGGTGATGAAAAGCATTTGGAGCAATTGCTGTTTGCTTTTTCCCCAAATACATAGATATAAAATACTGCATCTTCATTAAACAGTAAGATCACAATTTGTGTAACTCAGCATCTGTGTAGTATCTAAATTGCCTACCTACTGTGTGGAAATCAGCATTTGGAGATGTCTGTATTAAAAGTTAACTCTATTTTAATAGCACTTTAGTTAAATGTATCATACTTTATATGTTTTATTAACCTATGATCTTGCTGTTGTTGGTAAATATTTTAAGTTGCAACTGATAGGTAATGGCAGAAATGAGAAAATAAATACAATTATTAGTCTTAACTGTTTTTACCCTGTCTCTTTCAGTTTACAACAGCAGTGACCAGTGCCTTTTTATTAGCAAAAGTAATTATTTCACAGGTATATATTCTAATCAAATGTTTGTTTTACTTTGTTGTTTTCCTGAAAGCAAGATTGTTCAGGGTAATTTCTGTAACGTCCTCTGGTTTTGTTTCCTTCAAGCTGTTCTCACAGGGTGCTTTTGGCTATGTGCTGCCTATCATATCCTTCATCCTTGCCTGGATTGAAACTTGGTTCTTGGACTTTAAAGTGTTACCACAAGAAGCTGAAGAAGAAAACAGTAAGTTTTTGATATTCCCCTTCGTTCACTGCAGTTGGCAACATTTGATCCCACGTTATCTGGCAGAACAATGTTTCTTTCAGCTTCTCAAAAATTTGAAGAGCTGTGGGAAAAAATTAAATCATATGGCATAATTTTTCTTTTTCTGGAAAGGAACATAGGCCTTCATTGAAGTGGGTTTTTAATTAATTTAAGGAGGCAAAGTTGAAAGTTACAAGGGCCAGATCAGTAATTTGTCAAGCACTTAGGAACATATGTAATTCTGTATGCTTAAGACGTGAAAATTCAACTGACTTGGGCTTCTAAAATTTTCTTTTTTGAGTAATGCAAAGAGTAAGTTGCTGGTTCCTCTTCTAGGAAGAGTAGATTAATAACTAACTTAATGTCACTAATTTTTTTGGAGGTGGAAAAGGGAAAGCAAAGAAATATTCTGGAGAGTCTGCTTCATGTACAGACAGAATGACACCAGAGCAAGTATGAATTTCAGCCTGTTCAAGATGAGGCAGCATGTTGTCTGATGCTCAATGTATTAAACTAAATGGAGGAAATTCACTGATTTAGTTGAAAGAGAAAATTGCTTGAGTGGTGAGGAAAGGAAAGTGTAAATTTCTGCTACAGACGTTTTGTTAGTTTCCACAACAGGAGAGTAATTCTACAGTGAACTTGTTATTTGTGAAACACAGTCTGAAACTCTGTTGGAAGGGCATGTTTGCCTGCTAGGTAAAAATGAACACTTTATACAGGCATGGATGCCTCCTTTTTTTAGTGCTCTGAAATACAGTCTTTCTACTTTGATCCCTTTCTCCTCTTTTCCATCGCTCTAAGAAAGAAGTTGGTTGAATGAGTACAGAGGGCTTTGCCTAGAGAAAGGGAAACTTAGGGTACTTTTTGAGAGGGTGAGAAAATACAACTACATTACACTTTTATCTCAATAGATGGGGAATCTAACCATTTGAGAGACTTTGGCATGTTTTATAGTGAATATTCATAGACAAAGTATTTGATGTATACAGTCACAAGATACTAGAAGACATATACTGGGCTGCATCAAGAGAAGCGTGTCCAGGCAGGTCGAGAGAAGTGATTCTACCCCTCTACTCTGCTCTCGTAAGGCCCCACCTGGAGTGCTGTGTCCAGTTCTGGAGACCCCATCACAAGAGAAACATGGAACAGCTAGAACAAGTCCAGAGGAGGCCACCAGGATGATCCAAGGGCTGGAGCACCTCTCCTATGAGGGCAGGCTGAGAGAGTTGGGGCTGTTCAGCCTGGAAAAGAGAAGGCTCCAGGGAGATCTTATAGCGGCCTCCCAGTATCTGAAGGGGCTACAAGAAAGCTGGGGAGGGACTTTTCACAAGGGCAACTAATGACAAAACAAGGGGAAATGGGTTTAAGCTGAAAGAGGGGAGGTTTAGATTAGATATTAGGAAGAAGTTCTTCACTGTGAGGGTGGTCAGACACTGGAACAGGTTGCCCAAGGAAGTTGTGGCTGCTCCTCCCTGGAAGTGTTCAAGGCCAGGCTGGATGAGGCTTTGAGCAACCTGATCTAGTGGAAGGTGTCCCTGCTGATGGCAGGGGGGTTGGAACTGGATGATCTTTAAGGTCCCTTCCAATCCAAACCATTCTATGATTCTATATATGTAAATACTTGATGATCATATTCATAAAATGGAGATATTATTGGTAAATCCCTATGGGATTCAAAGATACTTTCTTTTTCTTAATTACTTGAAATATATTGTCTTTATTTAGAAGTATTTGAATTCTGTATATTTCCTAAAAAGATGGGGTTTCACTGGAAAATACTGATTTTTAGCAATTAAGTCAGACAAATGATAGGCATGTTTGTATTGTGTTGTGTGGTGGTACTTATGTAGTGCCTTAATTGCTTTTAAATCTAGGCAGATAAAAAAGGCAGATTTTAATAGTTTTTACTTTTTAACCTGGTATTTTTTTCTCCTGTCTTTAGTGGGATTAGAAACTGACTTTTTTCACCTTACTGTTTTGTTTAAAAAACAACCAACCAAACAAAAAAACCCCATAACAAATAAAAAAACCCCACCAAAAATCCCCACACCCATTTTCTGCCTAGTACAATAGTGCTCATAATTTGGAGATGTTTTGTCTGTAACTTTAAAAAAAGAAAAAAAAACAGGGTGGGGGGGAGCAAAACTGTCTTTCCACTGTAGAAGACTTCAAGCTCCACAAGTTTCCTTCTGTGAGCAGGATTTAAATCTAAATTCCACCCAGTATCTTGTGACTCATTGTTGAGTATGGAGACTGACCTTCCTCTTTTGGACAGAGGAGAAATACAAGTAAAAATAGCTGTCTCCTTTGGAGACTTCATAGAATAATAGAGCCAAAGAATCATTTAGGTTGGAAAAGCTCCTTAAGATCATCAAGTCCAATTTTGAACTAGTTAATAGGTAAATTGATATGTAGAAATAGTAGTTGGAAAGAGATCTTTTTTTTTTTTCCCCCATAACTGCTGGCTACCTCAGATAGCTCTTCTGATTCAATAAAACATGATTTTTTAATTATTTTTTTTCCCTGTCAATCTTCATGTGGCAGAGAGTAAAGGATGGAAGTTCAATAGCCTTATGTTGACCTACAATGCCATCTTTGCCCTGTTATTATTGAAGACCTGTTGATGGTAGTAAAGATGAAATTAATTACCTTGTCTCCTAACCCCTTTTGTTCTTTGTCCTGTATTTAACACACCAGAATAGCCCCACATCATTTCTAAATAATTTTCCTGATTTCAGATGAAATTGAGCCGAAAGGAGTTGGGAGGTTGGAGTAGCTAGGTATGTTGAGATAAGTGAAAGCAAGCCATTGATGGGGAGTCTGGTAGTGGCAAAGTGAGAAAATAATTCGTTTGGCTACACATGTCAGCTCACTGATCATTAAAAATACATTTCAGAGTTTTAATTAGCCAGTGGATATTGATGAATTTATATATGGCATCCTAATCGTGCAACTGCACACAGCAGAAGGAAGGATTCCTGAATTCTTGTGTACAGGACCTCTGTTTTGCTGGAGTGCATCTCCTTAGCTGCCTGAAGTTACACAGAAGTCATAAATGTTAATTTATCAGTTTGCCTTTTTTTTTTTCCCCTGAAATAGTCATTTGTAGAAGTAACTTGTTCATAGTGCTAATATAATACATTAATCTTTAAGATTCTTCATCAATACTTGATCTTTAAGATGCTGTGTGATAGCATTAAGGATTTGTGGTTTTGGGGTTTTTTTTTTGTTTTAGGATTTTTGATAGCACAGGATGCTACTGAACGAGCAGCTCTTCTTCACCCAGGAGTCCTTTCTGATGGGCAGTTCTATTCTCCTCCTGAATCCGTAGCAGGTAGGTATGTTTGCATAGTGAGTGATTTTTCATATTGACATTAAACTCCTGCATATTTCCTCCCACTTCAGAGGGTAAGGTGGGGGAAGAGTGAAGGGAAAAAAAAAATTCCTTTTTAAATGAGAAATGTACTTTATAATCCTAAAATGAAAGATTTTTTTGTATTCAGTAATTCAGTTTAGTTACTACCTGTCAGATTAATTAGAATACATGTAGTTAGTGGAGCTTCTGACATGTCCCAGAGGCATTACAAACAAGGTAAGTGTGAAAGCAAATGGTACTGCAACTGAAAGGAGATGGTTGTTGTTTGTTTCTGCCATCGATGATCCTTATGGCTTCCTTCCAACTTGAGATATTCTGTGATTCTGTGATCTCTGATCTGCTCCCAGTAGTGTTTATGCAGCAGTGCACTATTTAATCCAGCCTAAACTCGGAGCTTTACAGTATTTTAGGATAGACAGTGAACCTGAAACTACTGTAAAGCAAACTGAAATTTCAACCAGAAAATCTTTTCCTTTCTCATAACAAGAAGAAAAACCCTCTCTGTATGAAAAGTCCAGCTGTGTGGGTATATTAAACTGAGGGCAAGTGTTAATTACATCTTAACTTTGCATGTTGTGTGCTTTGTTCTAGTTGAGGTATGAGCCGAGTAAGCCAAAAAAGAAATGAAAATACCACAAGGTTTAATAACGTGTTTGCTGGCATTTCAAGGAAATGAGTAATATTTTTACGGATTGAATGGATTTGAGTTATTTGAGGACAGAGCGTGAACCCCCAAATCCTATATCAGTCTTTTTACCCTACAATGTAAATCTCTTCTGTAAAGCTGTCCTGTATTGTGCAATTTATTTAAAATATTAATATCTGCTGGTTGCTACAGATGTGGTTGCCTGTCTTGTATTATACAATGATATATGCTGGTGATATTTTTCAGTTTAATGGCTGTGGTTGCTGAGCATCTTGGTGCAATGAATGACTTAAAGCTCCATCTAGAGATGACAAAGCATTAAGACAATGTTGAGTATAACTAATGATTCAAAGTGAAAATGTATTTTAGTTAAAGCTGTGAGTCTATCTTGAGTAATAATGATTGGAATTACTATACTGGATTCAGCTTGGGATTTTTTTGGCAATAGAATATACAGAGTGAGAAGAAGTGTAAGTGGAGCTGACATGTCTTCCTTGGCAGTTTGGCTGGGTCAGTGTTGCATGTGCAGTGAGCTGCCATGCCTCAGCATGCACGTGGTGACTGCAGGTATATGACACTGCTTTCAGCTTATCCAACACCTGAGTTTCAGTAACAGCTTATGTGCCTTCTGCTAGTCTGCCTTAACTGCCAAATACATTTGTTTAAGCACCCTTTATTAGGTATAAGAAGCCAAGGAAACAGTCAGATTAATATATTTGAACTAAAACACACAGACACTGGTAGTTACAAAGTATTCTGAAACTGTTACATGATGTACAGTAAAAATAGCTCACAATTAAAAATAGTTTCTTAAAAATTCTGCATTTCTTTCAGATAAGACAAACTAGGGATTGTTCCAAGAGAGCAAATTTTGGTCAATTTACCTTCCATATTAATTGGAAAAATACTTAGAGATAAACAATTCCCCATGATCACACAGAGGGGAATAAACCCCTCTGCTGACATGGCAACATGTCTAAAAACAAGTCTTTGCTGTCAGAAGGTGACATTTAAAACAGGCTTTGTTGGAATTTGCAGCATATTTACCTTTTTATGTCTTCCTTGAAGATGCACATGTCCAGGGCCATACCCTTTTCCATCCACTTCTTTCTATGGGTTGACCCTTCATCTTCAACATTAGACTTGATTCCCAAGTTACCATTCTGGAGGTAGCAAACGGAAAATCATCCTGGAAAGAGTAAATTTCTACAGTTTATGTACAATTTGAGCTTCAAAATGAAAAGCAAGTATGCTAGTCCAAGAAAGAAAAGGACTTCAGAATAGTTTGGACAAAAAAACCCCCTGCTTAACCCCTTTGTCTTTCTTTTTTTACTTCTTTGTGAGAGGGAACGTGGGTCCATAGCTCAGCTTTAAATTGATGGCAAAAGCCCAAGTCTCCCGGGCATTTTACCAAAGACAGTTCTTTACTCACCTTTTTTTTTCCTCCCCAATGGGATTCTCATTTAAACTGCCCAAGACATGTACAGTGAAATGTGTGGGCTGATAATTTCCTCAGTCATTCCTAACAAGGGCTGACTGCAGCAAGATCTGACCACCTCCTCAGATGTGGGCAGAGACATCTGCAGCTTGGATTGGATCTCCAGAACTGTGGGTCAGTGCTGCTCACCCTGCTTGCTTGGTATCTTCTTGGTCTCCCTGAAACAACTGATCCATCAAGCCATCATCCTGCAAATCAGTGCCTCCAGCAGGAGCTGTCCCTGGGCACATAGCCTGGTGACCAGCTAAGCTTCCTTTTTGGGGCCTTCCAGGGCTTTGTCTCAGCAGAGAGCTGAGAGCAGGCAGGGGACATGGAGAAGAGAACTGGGCAGGAAGAGGTACAGGGAGCTGTTTGGTTTTTGGCTTAGAGTGAGACAATGTGTTGGGTTTATGTGGCAGGGTTTTTGATGGTGGGGGAGAGGCTACAGAGGTGGCTCCTGTGAGAAGCTGCTAGAAGCTTTCCTGACTCCAAGGTGGACCTGTCTCCAGCCTTGGTGGTGGAAGCACCTCTGTGATAACATATTTAAGAAGGGAAAAAGCTGTTGCGCAACAAGAACAACACAACCTGTGGCAGAGAAAGGAGTGGGATGTGGGAGAAGGAACTATGCAGACACCAAGGTCATTGAGGAAGGAGGGGATGAGGTGCACCAGACCAGAGATTCCCCTGCAACTTGAGGTGAGACAGCAGGCTGTCCCCCTGCAGCCCATGGAGGTTAACGATGGAGCAGAGATCCACCAGCAGCTCATGGAGGACCCCACGCCAGAGCAAGAGGCTTCACTTGAAGGCAGCTGTGACTCCCTGGGGGAGCCTGTGCTGGCACAAGCGACCCAGGGGGAGGACGTGTGCCGGAGCAGAGATTCACCTCCAGCCCGTGGAGGACCCCATGCTGGAGCTGGAAGCTGCACCTGAACGAGTCCTTGACTCTGTGGGAAGCCTGTGCTGGAGCAATCTGCTCCTGAACTCCTGCAGCCCACAGGAGGGACCCACGGTGGAGCAGTTCATGAAGAGCTGCGACCCGTGGGAGGGAGCCCACAGCAGAGCAGGGGAGAGTGTGAGGAGGCCTCTCTCTGAGGAGGAAGGAGCGGCAGAAATAACATCTGATGAACTGACTGCAACTCCAATTCCCCATGCCTGTACGTCACTGGTGGGGAGGAGGTAGAGAAATCAGGAGCAGAGCCCAGGAAGAAGGAAGAGGTAGAGGGCAAGTGTTTGAAGATGAGGTTTTATATCTCACTGTCCTACTCTGATTGGTAACAAATTCAATTTATTTTTTCCCAAGTTGAGTCTGTTTTGCCAGTGACCATAGTTGGTGACTGATCCCTCCGTGCCCTCGTCTCGACCCACGATCCCTTTGTTGTGTTTTCTCCTCCCCATCCCACTGTGCTCACACCATGACAGACAATCTCTTGCCAGAACACTCGATACAGAAGTTATTCATTTGTAAAGCCCTATTTCTGGCTGTTCTGAAAGTGTCTTCTGAAGTTTCTTCCAAAGGGCAGGATGTAGCAAGTGGGAAAATCTGCTTGTCAGGGGGCAAATGTGGAGTTGATTGTCCTGAGTGTGTTGTAGTGAAAACTTGAAGCCCTTGCTAACTGCCATCAGTTGACAGGGTAGGTATTTCAAGAATGATCCCAGTGCTGGGTTTTGGGTTTGATAACTGTTAAAAAAAAACCCCATTAAATGTGAAACAAGTGAAAAGATAAAAAAATGTAAAATAAAAAGTAAATAATTTTATGGGAAATAGTTGCTTTGAATTGCCTTTTGATAAGCCAGTACCAGTGGTGGTCTGCTGCTTTCTTTTTTTTTAATTTGGTTTTTCTTCTTCTCTCAACTGATGTAATAGTGTTCTTGCCTTCCTTTTCAGGATCTGATGAAGACTCTGAAGAAAAACAAGACAGTGAAAAACCAGTTGTATAGCAATTATGAAAAAGCAGGTGAGTTCCTTTGCATAAAAACTGAATATTCCTAAAAATATTTTTTTTCTTCTTAGTTCCTTCCCAGATAATTTGAAGGGTGGGCTGCCTCTTAGGCATTCCTCATCTTTGAGCCCGGTCTGTCTGTCTTAGCAACCTTCAAGCAGGAAATCCTGGCAGACTCCTGAGAGCCTGTAGTTGGGGTCCTCTGAGTTCTGGTCAGCCTGGGCCCAGGGATCTGAGAGAGCTGGTCTGGAGTGTGGTGTAAAAGTCTGTGGGCTCAGGATGGAACACCTCCATTTGTTTGGTGGCTGTCCTGGAAAGGACAATGGTGGACCAGATGTCTAAAAGCTCCTCTTTTTTTAGATATGTCTTTGGAAAAGGCAATGCAAGAGTGCTAGGAAGAGATTTTCTTTTCGTTTATGTCTAGGACAAATATACTTATCTCAAAGACTGTGTGGGCAAAACTACTTTGATGTTTCCCTTCCTCAGTCTGTTCAGTACTACAAATGGGTTCCACTGGAGCAGCTGCCTATTAAGATTTTTGTAGTGTACTTTGGTTAAAAATGAGAGATGATTTCCTTGATTTTGGAAATTTCATTTACTTTTGGAATTATCTTGCCCCATGCTTCTACTTCACCACACATGGCAAAACTCAAGCTAGGGGAGGTACTAAAAGTTCTTAAGAAGCCAAAGCTTCTGATATGAAATCTTCTAGTGCCGGAAGAGTGGATGACCTTTTCAGCCTCCTGTTTTCAATATATATATTTCTTTCTTTTTACTCTAATCTTCATTTATCCTGACCTCTGTAATCTGTTACAGAAAGAAAATGTCTGAGGGAAGTTGTTGGGGTTTGGAAACTGGCAACAGAATCTGTGGCTGACTTGCTGGTGGAGCTGCTGACAGGAGAATTCGTTCATGAGCAAGCAAAGGGAATGGTTCCCCTGTACTGTAATACCTCACAAAGATGTACCTTGTTGACATATGTATATTAGGTTGCCTCTCGGGTGGTATGAAAATATTTGTCCATTATGTATTTTATTCTTCAGCAATTCCTGAAGTTGATCTTCTAATGACTAGGTAATTACTGGAAAGTGTTGTCTTGTGTACCTAATCAAGAGACTGGTAATATAATGAAGTAAAACTTCTCTGTGAGGGAAGTATATTTAATGATTGTTGGGACTCACTAAGTAAAATTATTTTACGTCATTGCAGATTTGTCATTAGTTTTATGTTTACATTTTTTTTTAACTCCATGCATTTTCTTTTTTAACGGTTATGTTCACTTTCTAAAATAAAAATGTTAAAACATGGGTAATGCATTATGCCATTTTGTTGCTTTATCAACTCAAAATCCACAGGTACCAACCACTACCTTTATTTCTTGTGGGGTAATGAGGATTCCAGTTTGCATAGATCTTGTGCAACAGGTGTTACAGTGCAGTTTGGCTGCCTGTAGGGAGGCAGTGGTAGTGGAACATCAGTTCTTTGTTGCATGTGTGATATCAAAAGGATGCAAGGAGCTTTTTTGAAATAACTTAATTCCCACTCCTGTACTGGTGGTGGATGTTTTTAGCTGGAGTAAGCGAGCTTTTGCAAGCACTAGTGTTACTGCAGTAGTGAAAGGAAGGTAATAAATCATTCGATTTAGGAATGTAAGTATAAGATACGTATTTTCAGATTCAGATCTAAGTGTTAACTGGTGCTTATCAAAAAAGTTTTAGGTAACACCTAATTCCTACCTAAAGATGAATGTAAATGTTGTCCTATATAGCCATTAGGTTTTATTAGCAACCTGCACAGCAAATATTAAGTACCAACATATTCTTAATGTGTTTACTCATGCATATGGATGAGACTGCTTTGTAATATTTCCATTGTTGTGGAACAGTAGCATAGTGGGTAGAAGAGAGGATGGGCTGTGGTCTGTCTCTTCCAGTCACAGCTTTTATTTGAAGCAGTAGCAGCTGTTTCAGTTTACAGCATTTTTCTACAAAAAAGCACAAACCTAAAGCCACTCCTCAAAGCAGGAGAACATACATTGGCTTCCTCTTGGATTTTTCTACAAAAAAGCACAAACCTAAAGCAGGAGAACATACATTGGCTTCCTCTTGTTCAGCCTCAGCAAATCAATAAACTAGCAGCAGGGGGGTGGAGCCACAGCAGCTGTCCAGCTCCCAGCCATCAACTTGCTGAGCCCCCAAAATTGCAGATGTTCAATGGTGTTCAGGGCTGTGTGCATGCAGGATTTATTTTCTCTTTTCATCTTTGGGTGTGAGACATTTCAAGTGGGCTGGGAGATCATTTACTGAAAGCCAGCTTGAGACATGAATGTGATCACTTGTAGAGTTGTCCTGTTGGAGTTGAGGCTACAGCACAGAATAGAGGCCATTATTGGGGCAGTAGAAGGGGAAAAGAGAGGAAGAAAGGGAGGTGATAAAGTCTGCAAGAGCTGCAGGTATTTTGAGAACACTGTCACAGCTGTTTTATTTCACTTTAGTTGCTATGAAGCTTTAACAGTAAAATAATCACCTGTGTTTTTGCTCCAAATAACAGTTCTGTAAATAAGTGTATGACTAAAAAATGAGGCAGTCTGTCTTCCTTCACATTGAAGATGAAGTTATATTGGCTTCAGTTATGCTGCTTCTAAAATGCTTTCCCTGTTGAGAAAGACCCTTGGATGTAGTAGATCTCCCAGGGCCTACTCATTAAATTGGAGACAGTGTAGTTCAGCAATCACAGATCGTTGTCTGGGCTGTTGACTCTGTGTTCATTTTATCTCTCTGTTCAGAAGAAACCATCAGGGTTGTGATTAGTTATTTTTACAGTGCATAGTCTGGAGATAGAATACTTTGCAGGTTTTGAGAGCATTCACATGTATAAACTATCTGCTAAAACTCACATTTCAGTTAAGTTAAGCTTTCTCTCCTTTCACAATTACTTAACCTCATTAATTTTTTTCATTAGAAGTTATAGCCTATTAGCATATTGCTTAGTAGTGAGACTCAGTGCAGATTTTATTTTAGAAACAGCTCTTTTTATTCTTTGATCACTGTAAAGAAAATAGACCATTTGCTAGCATGTCAGTAGGATATTAAATCCTTTCTTTCTCTAATTGCAATTCCAGCTTTTAAATAAAACACTCTTTACATGAATGCTGCATATCTAAAAACCAGTCTGTACAAATAACCACTTGCTCAACATCTCTCAAAAACTTTATACAGGTCAGGCAGGTTCGCAAGCTGCAAAATGTTGCCATCTTCTGTGAAGTGCTTGGGAGGTAGAAGATGAGTCCTAAAAGCTTTGTAAAGCACATGCTCCACAGTCCATTTCCATGTTGTTGAACCAGAGTCAGAATCTTCATTCTGAAACAGATGAAAAAGGACAAACAAATAGAAATTCTCTTTTACAAAAGGAGAACACTCCTTAAGAAACTTCTGTGAGACTAGAGGGAGTGTGAGATTCTACCAGTATTAGAGAGGAAGATCATTCTATACAGTCAAGTTAACTGTAAGCTCTGGGAAGCCTGGATGAGTGGTGGCACTTGCAGAATGGGCTAGCTCAACTGAATGACTGAGCAGACACTTACAAGCAGACAGTATTTTTTTAATCTACATCCTTATTCTTCTGTAGAAATTTCTCACAGCTCAGCAGGTTAAAAATACATCTTAAACTCAGGACTGGTGTAATATTAAGTACACTGCAACACCCAAAGTTAAAAGGTTCTCCTACTACATGTAATACTTCAGAAACTGTAAGCCACAGTCTTTCAGAATCTTCCCCCACTGCTACTTCCTTCACTTCACTAAAAGTAGAGTTGGGACTAGAAATCTACAGTTGAAAAAGAAGTTGTTTCCTGTGTGGTGTTTAGTTTTCTGTTCATGTGACTAGTTACATGGTCTTGTACCTGAGAGTTTGTCAGGTTGGTGTCATCTATTATATATTGCTTTCTCAGGGAGTAGAACATGGCTAATTCTTTACTTAGGCTTTCAAAACACTCCTTCTCTTCATCCCAGTTTACCTGTCACAAGAAAGAGAAGTCATTTAATAGAATCTGAGTAGCAGTCAGACTTGATAGAGACTCTTAATATGGAAAAGTCACAATAATGTCTTGGCCATTTTTGTGCTGATAAGATAAAGATATAGAATGAACAAAAGGTTAGAAGTGCAGGCTTTCAAATCAAAATATGTCCTCAGTCATCAGTAGTTGTGAATGAAGAGGCAAAGCACAACTAATCAGGACCCATAGCAAAAGTGGCTGGAGCATTTAACACTACTTTTAACCAATTCCAGCCTTTCCTTTGCAGGTTCTGATGAATTAATTTGATTAGCTTCATTCTTTCTGTCATGGTTTTAACCCAGCTGGCAGCTAAACACCATGCGGCCACTCACTCTCCCCGCTTCCCCTGGGGGATGGGGGAGAGATTCAGAAAGGTAAAGAGGCTGGTGGGTTGAGATAAAAACAATTTAATAATTGAAATAAAATAAAGTTATAACAATAATTATAGAATATACAAATGAGTGATGCCCAGTGCAACTGCTCACCGCTTGCTGATGAATTCCCAGCCTGCCCCTGGCTAGCAATCCCAGAGGAGAGAAACCCTGAAACCAAAACCCCAGAAGAGAGAGAGGTTCCTGCTCAGCCCTCATCTATACCATGTGCATGACGTTGCATGATATGGAATATCCCACTGGCCCACTGGGATCAGTGCTCTGGCTGTGCTCCCTCCCAGCTTCTTGTTCACCTGCACACTAGCACAGCATGGGAAATTGAAAAGTCCTTGTTTTCTTAGAAACAACTAAAAACATCAGTATGTTATCAACACTCTTCTCATACCAAATCCCATATTGAATCCAAAACACAGCACTATTCTAGCTACTGAGAAGGAAATTAACTCTGTCCCAGCCAAAACCAGACACTTTCCTAAACAGAGTCATTTGTCAATTAATAAAATCCGTAAGAGAATGTACCTCTGTGGCCAAGCGAAGGATAAACATAGGCAGTCCTTCCAGCGGCGGAACGTAGTTGTCTATCAGAAGTGGTAACCCAATAAGGTTTCCTTCCTGCAAAGCAATGCTGCTGCTTCAGTAAAAAACAAAACAAAACAAAGTTCTTTCTTGCAGTAAATGCAGCCAAACTGTGAGGTTTTGAATCAGTAAGACTGATTCTTACTAAGCTTAGTGAGCCCTAGGGGTGGCTGAAGTTACACGTTTTTAAAGCCTGATGCCAGGCAGATGTTGCAGGAAGAGGGTTAGTGGTGGTGTTTAACTTTCCAAGGCCTGGATTTAAGCCACTGAGTTCAGGAAGACCTGAATTCAGCCTCCTCCTCTCCCTCTGGCCACTGACTACACAGGTCTTGCTTCCTGGGAGAACACCCCAGTGCAGTGTCTGGGTTCTGTGACCCTGGATGGAGCTGTTCAGTTTTGTAGAGCGAGGGATGCATCAGGCTGCACCAAAAAAGAGACACACTGAGGGCAGTGGTGGTGCTGTAGCCCTGCCTGGCTAGAGAGCCAGTTCAGCTGCACACCTCATTGGGTAAGAGCTGCCTTCTAGTTACAGAAGCAGTGACCAAATTATTTTATTTGCTAATTAATAAAAATAAAAAACTTCTTTGTGTAGCACCCTTCTAAAAGCAGCATAAAAGTCTTCAGCATTTTTAAGGCAAGGGGAAAGCCACCTAAATCTTACTGAAGCAAGTTCTTAGTGATAGTAAGTGCTGCCAACAAACTACCATGGTTATTCTGTTACCAAAATGTACAATTACACAATCATTTAGGTTGGAAAAGACCTTTTAAGATCATCAAGTCCAACCGTAAACCTACCACTGTCCACCATTCAGTTACTGTCAGAAGTAAGGGCAGCAGTCACCTCGTCAATTTCAAGAGAAAAATAATCTTTCAACATTTCAGTCTTCTTTTTCAGAAACTCCACAATGTACTCAGCAAGCCCTTCTTTTGGGCCATCTTCTTCTGTCCAGCCACTTTCAGGATCCTCTAAAGCAAGCATTGAGAGCTCATATAAAGGAGCCGGCTCCTAGAAATGGAGAAGGCAAAACTGATGTTAATGATCAACATTGGAAATGCTACTGGAAATCTGTAACTTCTTCCTTTACATACAAACTAATTGCAATATACTGCTTCTGGCCTGCAGAGCAAACGGTTCTGCTTATCAGAACCAGTCTAAAAAGCAGGAATTTCTTTCGGATATAATTCTGTGCAGTCCACAGTCCTGCAAAATGCTTTGGTATTTACAGGATAAACACTAGCAATTTCTGATAGACTGTGTATTCAAATTGATTCTTTGTCCCAATGT